GTAAATTAGACACGTAAAGTATTACAAGCCTTTTCTTTCCCTTTCTTCCTCCTCCCCACGTGTGTGATTCTTCTTTTTCTTCAGGTGTCAGGACTGGAGCAGACAATGGCGACCATAGTGCCCCATTTCTTCTAGTTGTCTATCTTCTTGGTGGGCTCGGCTTTTCTCCTACAGTAGTTATTCGTTGCAAAGTTGTTCAGGTCATCTGTGTATCTTGTTCTTTGTCTTCTCCCGCTCATGGTTCCCTCTATCTTTATACACAGCAGCAATTTCTCTTGTCCAATTGATCTATTTATGTGGCCAAAGAATCTCGATTGTCTTTTTCTGATGGTTTTGGTTATTAGATATTTCACAACGTTCCGTTTCGAGCCCTTTTCTAAAGTAGGGTGATATTATGATTGTCCAAATCTTGTTTCTTCCTTTGATTGTGCGAGGACCAGATGGGAGTGCTTTTTCAACATGTGCTCATATGACAAGAGGAACAATATATATATATATATATATTTATATTTATAAAGAAAAACAAAGTTTTAAAAAAGTTTAACGTTCTCATCGCAACAACTTGGATTATTCAAGAGGTGGGTTCCGACTCTGCCTGTCAAGCCAGGCCAACTGCTGCTGAACCAAGAGCATTAACGTTCCTGTAGACAGACTGAGATACTCGATAAAAATTCTCCCCTCTCGGGAATCGAATCGAACTCACAGCTTCTGCATTCGACAGCGAATCTCATAACCGCTACCTGACATACACCGGCTGAGTGGAGCAGGAACAGAATCTGTACTAGTAGGCCTGAATCAGATACCCCTCCCCCCTACCCCTTCAAATTATTATGATCAATTTCTCAGATCTTTCAAAAGTGGACTGAACCTAGCTTGGAAAATAGCTACAACAACAACAAACAAACAAAAGAAACAACAACAACAACAAATTCCTCGTAAAAAAGAAACAGTTTCAAAATAGTTATTAAAAAAACAACCTTGATGATTTATTTTAGTAACGCAAATGTAGCAGCAATTCTTCTAAAAACTCGAGAATGAATGACGTCAAAAGCAATAGTATCACTTCCAACAAACCTTGAGGATTGGAATGGAAGCAATGAATTTTGAGCTAAAAAAACAGAAAAACAAAACAATCACAAGAACCAAAAAAATTAAAACCCAACAACAACAACAAAAAAACCCAACCCAATCATGGGAAGAGGATTACGCGTAATGAGGCAGAAAGAGGAAGCCCACCTTCCGACTTCCCAGGGTGTTGATGTTGCGTGTTACTAAACAATGACGTCACCGTAGCGGCACCTGCTCTCTATTCCCAGGTTGTAGAGGTCGCCTTTACCTCCCATGGCTCTGCTGGTGACGATTCTGAACCAGCCATCTTCTCCCTGGGGGAAAACATTTCAGGTTATGGGTCAAATCTTCATAGACTTGATTAAATTAAAAAACAAACATCAACAACGCCTGTAATCCAACATTATAGCCCCC